TGCTCTGCCTGAGTTCCCAGAAGTGTCAGCATAAAGAAAACTGGGAGTACACAGAAGCCTTGATCTGGCTGGGTGGGCTCTGAAGCCATGACCACAGCACATAATGCAAGAGCGTGCACCACAGGAGCCAGTGCTGTCATAGCTCCCCCAGGAAACCCATGTCTGAAGAAAACAAACTGATTTAATTGTGTGGCAACCAAAATGTGCTGGGGAAACAACCCCTACAGCTCTTTGTTTTGCTTCCACTCATCTCTCCTTTTTCTTTATTACTTGGAAAAGCTTCATTACTGTGATTTGTTTTCTCAGATACATGTACCCTTAACTAGGTTTAAGGCTTCATTCAAACCTCTCAGCCTGTTTTAGGCCTCCATCCTGCATAAAGCTAAGCACAGCCAGATCTGCAGCTCAGCAGTGCGATAAAGTAATTAGGACTGTCAAGAGTTTGGCTTACTCATTGCAACGGTGGCACACTAAAGCCCCTGTATAGGCACCAGAAAAATCACAATTCCAAAAGCCACTGCACACACAAACCTTGGAATTTGCTGTATGCCATCTTGGTTACAGTTCCCTTACCTCAGTAAGGATCAAACTAAAAAACTTAGTGAAAACTATCCTGTAGTCTTTAGCCTCTCAAACTACTATATCTATCCAAATTAGTTACAAGAATCAATTATATGTATGCATATATATCATATAGTTAGGATTACCTACATAAACCTGTGGATCAGCAGTAAAAAACCCCACCTATAGTTGCCTGTGATGGTCTCTCATATTTAAACCTGGCTATTTCATTAAAAAGGCCACCAATGAACAAAAAATTCATAAATTAGCAAATTAGTCACTGTATATTATTCATCTGGTCCACATCTGCTCGTCTGGGTTTACTGGTGTGAGCATTCTGCATGCAAGAGCCCACTTCAGCCTCTGGAGAAATGAGGTGAACGGTTTTGCCGCAGCAAGAGGTTAAAAAGGAAATAATTAGCAGACTTCCATGGCAATTCTCATTTAAAAGAACACACCAGGACAGGCCACCTGAGTGCTGCCTGCAAGCCCTCTTGCCTTGCTTTGGTTTATTAACCAAACCAGGGTGCCCAGTGACACTACTACAAAAGACCAAGGTGAGTAACTCTGCTAGAAACAAAAGGTCTTTGGGTCTTTCTTAGCATGAAAGTTCTGCTAAATAGATAATCCATTCATCTCTCACAACCAGAAAACCCCTATCTCCCACATCCCTTCCTCCCTTTCAGAAAGTGCAGATAGTCTGACCAATTTAGATACAGGATTATAAGCAATCATTTAAAATTGATTTTCACTCTTGCTCAGTCTGCTTATTTTATGCATTACTTCACATTTATATGCTTTATGTATATTACTAAACTACTTTTCACTGCCTGTTAGATTTAGCAGCTAGAACCAAATCATGTTAAATGATTTCTGCTCCTCCAATCAGCCCCAGGAGACAACTGTCACTCTGTTCCTGTTACTATTTGCTGTAAATAAATCTCCCCATTTTTCGAACAATGAGAATTAATTCAGAAGGAACAACTGCAGGTCTGTGTGACAACATACTAAACGGCTTTATTTTTATAGATATATGTGATATATGACAGAAATACATGTTGATGTATCTGTCTATGTATTTGTGCACATCTAGTCAACAGCGTGCTGCAGTTTAGCTGTGTTGCCACTAGATGCAGCCACATAACCTTGCAAAAATTTAACACTCTGACCTCAGGGTTATAGAAAGCTTTTTTGGCATCTCTCTGATTGCAGAATTCTTACAACAACATTAATAGTGTTCAATCCTGAGCACTGGGGAGGGGGGAAATGAGAATTTCCAGTTTTTCTTCTCAATAATTTCGTTCCAAACCATAGCATGGCACATGTCGATGGGGAGGTAAGAAATCAGAGCAGAACAAGACTTGTCTATTTTCATAGTTGTTGCCATAGATCCAGACTGGAGTTGACAATATTGAATTACATTGTGTTTTGCTTTCTACATAACAGAGCAAGTCAGTATGAAGCACTCTATTCCCAAGTGACCCCCTAAAGATAGAATCATAGAATCACTGAATAGTTTGGGTTGAAAGGACCTTTTAAAGTCATCTAGTCCAACCCCCCTGCAATGAGCAGGGACATCTTCAACTAGATTAAGTTGCTCAGGGCCCCATCCAACCTGACTTCACAAGCTGCTCTTTACGCGTATGGTAAGCAGCACACTAGGCCAGTTGACAAAGGATTCCTGCACTCAGAAAATGCTCCTGCTTTATCTACTCTTAACAGATAGCATGAAGATGTGGAAAATTCTCTTGTTATTTGCTCACCAGCTATCAGAGTTATGCAGGAGTAATGTTGCCTCTAGGACAAAGCAAAACCAGGGAAAACCTCCCCTACTTTTAGGAGGCTTTATCTGTCCTGTACCCTCCCTCAGTACTTCCCTGGGTGCATAATACACACAGTACTGGAAAAATACAAGCATAAGAAGCACAACAGTAGATTCCATAAGTAAAACAGATATAATAAATATATTAAGCACTGTTTTCAGTATTTTTTTATAGTGGGTTGATTTTCCACTGAAGATGGATGAAATAAAGCCTGTTCAGCACATTCAGGGTAAAGCAGAGTGATGCCCAGTCAGCTGTGCAGTGGAGAATAGAAATTAGAAAGCAGATTTTTATCATATATTTTAATGCCAAATTCACTTGCTTCTGCTCCCTTTCACTATAAAGACTACATTGTGATTCACAATCCATATAAATACACAGACAACAGCCCCCATTTCTAGCTTCTACTTTCCTTCCTTCCTCTTTTTGTAGATAAGAGATACCTCATTTACGTGCAGAACTGGCCAAGGCAGTTCCCAAGCCTCTTGAGTATTTTTTACTGACGGCCACTCTGGTGGAGTTACATTTACCCATGTTTTGGGTCATTTCTCTTTGTTTGTTTTTGTAGAAGATAGCAAAAAAAAAAAGGAAAAAGAAGCACAGTCTCCTCCAGGATCCACTTTGTTTGCTGATCTGATCACAGTTCTCTTCAACTGCCATTAATAAACTGAACTTAGCAAGATGGATTAAAGGGAAGAGCAGCACCAGTTTTTGTTGGTTTAAAGCATGAGGAACATAAATATAATGGCTTCAGAGGAACCCAGCCTAGGGCTAAATTCTGACTTAACTCTCCTGTGGGATGCTGCAGACAAGATGAAAAGCAATGTCTCAACTGAAGGTCCCCAAGCCAATACAAAGCAGGATAGATGTGGGAAGGCATGGGAGCAATTTGCTCTGTAGCACTGCTCACTGCACTTCCAGAAAGAGACAATATGTGCCCTTCTTTTGCAACCTAATGCTTATCACAGCTTGTGTGCATACAGCAGAGGGGCCTGTCTGGATCCCCAAGCCAGCTGAATAGATTACATCAATAGGATCCCCATATAACTGCCAAAAAGTTTTCCTATTCTATCACTATCTTTTGTGAAGTAGACAGAAAATGCTCCCAGCAAGATGGATTTACCCTGTAGGACAGTACTCTGAGTCTTCCAAAAGCCATAATGAAAATGTTTGTGTTTCCATCCAAGAATGGCATTGGCAGCAAATTGAAGGTAATTAAACACACTGCCCATTGGCCATACAAGTTTCTTTTTTGTAATAATTTCAGAGAAACAAATCCCTCTCTATAACCCAGACATTGTGTTGTGCAACAGGAATTTTTTGGGCTAACTTCTACCCTGCTGTAAGTGCACTGCAATGGGAGTTACAGCCACTTTATGCCAAGACTGTGCTTTGTTCAGTATCTCTCAGATGTTCTGTAGTTCAGTTTCATTACCTCATAAGTTCTAAGAATTGTCCTGTTTACTGGGAAAAGACCAGTGAACTGGACTGCACACTCAGTAGTTTCTCCATGTGCAAACAACAGAGAAACCACCTATTTATTATCACTATTCAACCCTTGATTTTATTTCTTATCTTTATATAACTAACACGGCCAAGTTCACACTGTTTATTTTAACTCACTTCCTGAAGAGGATGACTCCATCTGAATTTTTAACCAGATATTCACTCGCTGGCTCCAATCTCCTGGTGCTTCCACCTCCCACAGTCGCTTCTGCTCCTCAGGATAAGTCTGCAAGAATTTCTGGCAAACTGAATAGGAGAAAGGAAGGGGTAAAGGCATGAATGAGTGGAAAGTACAGTGGAAGAGGGAGTGTATTCTATCCCACAAATTCTCTCAGACCTACTTTCATTAGTTCCTTTGGAAATCTTTTCTTCTTCTCTTCTCATCTTCCTTTCTTTTCTTTTAGCTGGGGCTTTTAGGAAGAGTATATGTGGAACCACCTAAACAGGCATGAGTGAATCCTGTCCATCTGCTTCTGTCTAGATTACTTCCTTGTGAGCGCAGAACTACAGGACTTGAAATGACTTACTGATCCACCTTCTTCTGGCACTGCATCACAGAACTATCTCCAGAGACTTGGCACGTTTGAGACTAACAGTAGCGTGGGTTTTTTCACCCTCGCTACTCTGAAATGAAAGGTGTTTCAGTATCTTCCAGCTCTAACCATTAAGAATGCTACTCTAACTTCTATTTGTAAACAAAACTTCGTAGCAGTTTGTTCTTGGGCCAATACTACCCTCCGTTTTACTACTGCTACCCTATACACTGATGCTGGGGTTCATTTACTTCTTTGGGTGTGGAAAACAGGAAATTGGAAGCATTAACAGAAGAATAATAGTGATACCTGTGTCAGATGTACAGTTGCCCTTAGAAACCACATTCCCATAGATTCCCATCATTGACAGTACCCACTGAACATCAGTGTAATTTGGATAAACAATCAAATTTTGGTTTGCTTATGTTATCCAACTGAAATCTGTCTTATTTAGAGGTTTTCTTTGGGTGCTGCAGAGCCAAGAGGAAGAATATGTCACAGGACACACAGTTCACTAAATTTAAAGGGGATTGTTTAACTTTCCTTAACCACCATTCTATGAGTTCCATCAACTGCACTAAAGATAGCAATCTGTAAACAACTAAAGTATCTTCATGCTCTCCTCTGTCTATTCTAGTTCTTCATCCTACAGAACGGGCAATTCATCTTCAGTATCAGGCGAGCTTAACAATGGGATGTCAAAACAAAAAGGCTAATTCTGGTATGTAAACATTTGCCTTACAGTAATGAGCAGATCCCTGCCATTAATTTTATCCCAGGATATCCAAACTAAATTAATCATTTCAATTAAACCTACTGAAAGTAACATATATACCAAAATAGAGAGATCTGCTAAATGGCTTTTTACTTCCTTTTAGGCCCCTATAGCACATTAAATAACATCCTTGTGAAAACAGTGCACATTTTGTACAGAGATTTAGAGTAAAACATTGCATTCTTTTGTCAAAGTATGAGATTGTGGTTCCAATGAAATTAAAAACAAGCAGTGGCTTCAACAGACTCAAAATTTAGCTTACAGTATTAGTATTTTTATAAAAGTAGGACCCAGAAAACCTAATTAGAACATGATGCAAGTCAAATTTATTCACTGTTAGCTCTAAACTTGAGATGAAAGCATAGTCTTGCAATATATATCACTAGTGTTAACACATAAACAACACAGCTTTCTCATCCATAGTGTCTAAACCATTGGTGCTTGACGTAGGAAAATGGATATTGTTGGGAGAAGAGAAACTATGTGGTAAACACTATTCCTTCCTAAATTTTGAAGTAGCAGCACCTTAGGAACTCTTGGGGTACATTTGTATGCATTTAACGGTACATACTGACCAAGTAGAGCACAGATACAGTCAAAATTGTGTTGACACTTATTAGGAAATGGCCATAAATTCGTAAGTCAATAGAAACATCTCCCCCAAGATGATTGTAAAGGCTGTATACCATACAGAGAGCAACTTCAGGGAGAAATGCTTTCCTAAAGAAAACAGTTTTATAAATAATGTGAGCACAGGTATTTTGTGTAAATTTTACTAGCAAAAACAGACCCTCAACCTGACCACAGAGAAATATGTAACTACTTAGTGATCTTATAGAAGTGCCAAGTGTTCAAAGACAGTCGATATGAAACTAGTACTGATGCGGCTGGATGAATGAGCAGAGCCTAGATATATGGCTTATTAAATCTGATTTCTTACAGTATCTACAAGATATGCAGTATCTACAAGAAATGCAGGATCTACAAGAGCATTATGAGTGTAATGTAGACTTGGCAACATCTTAGGATTTTTTTTCCCCTCTGGTGTAAAATAAAATGGGTAAGGCACTGTCTAGGATAATGACACAGTTCTGTTTCTAAGAGTGAGGTAAGAATGCACAACGTCAAAAAGGCAGAATGAGTTTTATGCTTCTCATTATCTTACATAAATATTGGCCTACCTTTCTGCAGGGAAGTCCAGATGCCTCAAGAAAAGTGACCAGTTGCACTCTAACAACAGTGCAGTTCAGACAAGTGCACTGAACTCTTACACAGTTCAGAAAATCCTACCAAGACCATATCGAAATGTATACATTATACATGACCCTTACCTAACGTTTCCACATCAAATGATTTACCTTGATACATGGCAGCAGAAATAGGGCAGCTGATCCCCAAGGCATCCTCAGCCACGAAAGACTGACAGAAATCATCCAGCATTTTCATCCCTAGGCCACTTCTTCTGTGCTTTCTCCTGACAAATACAGTATCCAAAACTGGCAGCAAGTAACACTGACTGGTTGCACCATCACACAGGCTCCCTGGAAGCAGACAGTAAAAAATACATGAATTTGAAAACAGAATTGTTATTTCTGCACTAACTGCTGTGTGATTCTATCCACAAATATCCCTGATACCTTTCCACAGGCTACGAGGGTGACCCCCAACTAAAGTACATTTGCGCCAACAGTAAAACGCTTTCCAGGAGGAAGATCTGTGCCATCAAGCTGCTTAACATGTGGTTGACAGGTCTTACCCTGTCTTTTCCAGACTCCAATTCTTCATAATCAGGCCATCTAGGTACACAGGCAACATAAATGGGAAAGTTCACTGAAAAGAACTGGGCTATAGCCAGAGAGGCATAAACATTCTGAATGTAATCTCAGTCTATTCCTCTAGATTTTAGCTATTCTGGTAAATACACAAACTCTTTCATGAGATACACTGAGCCACATGATGCAGTATGACCTAAATGCTCAGAAGGTCCATACTGCCTGATGCAGCTGGGCAGTGGAAAAGGCTCCCAGAGAAAACTCAATACTGTTTAAGCTACCAAT